GTGCTCCCAAGCTCTCACACACACACGGGGCTGGGCAGGGTCACCTTGGCTCCGCAGGATGATGGGGATGACCCAGAATGAAGCTGGATGCCAGGGAGTCACACCCTGCTCATTTAGGTTCCATGGAGCATCCCACAAATTAAACTGGGCACCAGCAATCCCAGTTAACCCCGAATTTCCTTCGCTCCTTCTCCTGTGCCAAACTTTGGGGGTTCAGAACATTGCCACCCCTTTTTCCGTGGGTTTGTGGGCTGGCTTTCTGCCCTGGGCTGGGATGAAGGCAGCCAGGGTAGAGCTGCTCCTCTGTTTGCTCATCTGTGGGTTTGTTTTTGTATTTCTTGAGGGGAACTCGCAGTTGGGAGGGTGGAGGGGAGGAAGAGGAAGGCTTTGATACCCCAGAGTCTGCAGGAATGAGGTTTTCAGTCGACTGTAGGGAACTGTTTTGATTGCAAGGATGGCAAATGTTTGATGTGTTATAAATAGGGCTGACTGCGGTGGAAAAAAGAAAGAGAGTTTAAAAAAAAAAAAACCCTGATTTTTGGGTTTCTCTTGGTGTGTTTTGCCTGTCTGAGGCTGAGGGAATTAGGGATAATTTTCCGTTTTAAAATATTTAAAGGCTGGAGAGCAAAATACCAAAATCTGTGAAATCCCGTGGGGAAGCTGGTGATTAGCAGAGCATAACAGAGACTTCCCTCATCCATGGGCTGGGCAGATGAGACCTGCAGGGTGGATGTGCTGGAATCTGCCCTTCTCCAGCTTTCCAGGAGCTCTTTGGCTGCCGGCACCTTCCCAGGTTTATCAGGGATTTTGCTGATGGTGCAGCCCAAAAATCACCTTTTATTCTCCACATCTTTCCCACCTCTCCAGCTGGAATGATGCAGGAATTCCCCAGCTGGGACTGCTCCCAAAATCTCTCCTGATCCTCCATGCACACACACCATTGCTGCCTCTCCCCTGGCCACCCTGGCTCTTTCCAACAATGGTTCTTTCATTCCCGAGATCTTCCCCCACACAAGGAGAGGTCGGGATTGTTCCCATTCCCACGGCCCTGCCAAGGAATCTGCAGGAATCCCCTGTGAGCTCCAAAACAAAGCTGTGCAGTGAGGCTGGAGCAGCTTTGGGTGGACAGGGGCCGTGTCCAGTCCCTCTGGATGAGCTCTGCCAAGGAATATGAAGGAATATGAAGAATTTGCCAAGGAATCTGCAGGAATCCCCCCTGAGATCCAGAACGAAGCTGTGGAGTGAGGCTGTGTCCGATCCCTCTGGATGAGCGCTGCCAAGGAATCTGCCAAAGAATCTGAAGGAATTTGCCATGGAATCTGAAGGAATCTGAAGGAATCTGCAGGAATCCTCCCTGAGCTCCAAAACAAAGCTGTGCAGTGAGGCTGGAGCATCCTTGCCTGGACAGGGGCTGTGTCCAGTCCCTGTGGATGAGCCCTGCAAGGAATCTGAAGGAATCTGCCATGGAATCTGCAGGAATCTGAAGGACTCTGCCATGGAATCTGAAGGAATCTGCAGGAATCCCCCCTGAGCTCCAAAACAAAGCTGTGCAGTGAGGCTGGAGCATCCTTGCCTGGACAGGGGCCGTGTCCAGTCCCCGTGGATGAGCTCTCCTGAGGATGAGCCTGGCTGGGTGCTGAGCTCCAGGAATGCTGAGGCAGTGCTCCCATCCCAGGCTGGAGCTGTCTGAGCACGCTGGGGCTGTGACATTTTGCTGAAGTGAGGGGTGGGAGCTCCTGGCTCTCAGCTGGCTGCCCCAGCCCTCAGCTCAGCTGTGGGATTCCAGGTGAAATCCCTGCCAGGAGCAGCCAAGCAGGAGCACATTGTATCTGCCCAGTGCCAGCTGCAGCGCCCTGGGCCAATATTTGCTCTGGGAGGTGTTTGGCCAAAGGCTCCAGCTCTCACTGCTCCCAGGGTGAACCCCTTGGAGGTTTCCCATCACAGACCAGGGAGGCCAGACTTGTTCTGCTCTTCCACTCCCAGGGAATGTTTGGTTTGGTTTGGTTTGGTTTTTTAACCATTTCCATGTCTGCCCTCATCCTTTCTCAGTCTGGCTTCAGGAGAGGTGAGATCCCAGCTGGGGGAGCAGGGATGTATCCCAAGCCTCCTTCTCCTGGTTCCTCAGGAAATCAAAATGCAGAAAAAAAAATATCAGCACATCCTCCAAAAAGCCCCATAGCTGCTTGCTGGGGGAAGGGCTGCTGGAATCTGCAGCACCAGCATTCCTCCAGCTGCCTTCCTTAGGCCAAGCAATGGATGGATAAACCTTTCCTTTCCTTTCCTTTCCTTTCCTTTCCTTTCCTTTCCTTTCCTTTCCTTTCCTTTCCTTTCCTTTCCTTTCCTTTCCTTTCCTTTCCTTTCCTTTCCTTTCCTTTCCTTCCCTTCCCTTCCCTTCCCTTCCCTTCCCTTCCCTTTCCCTCCCCTTCCCCTTCCCCTTCCCCTTCCCTTTCCCATTCCCTTTCCCTTCCCTTCCCTCATCACTTTGGAAATTCGGCTCCCTGAGCATCCTGAGGCTCCAGGTTAGACAAGAAGCTCATCCAGGCTCGTGTCTGGGGGTCTGTGTTGGTTTCTCTCCCTTCCTGGTGGGTTTGGGGGTGTGGGGATGGGGTCCCCCCTCCTTTCCTCGCGTGCAGACTCCTCCCAGTTTAATTAGAGCCAGCAGGGAGAGAACCTCAATCTCATTATTCCCTCCCAGCAGGGCAGCAGCAGCATTTCTTGGACGTCAAAAGGAGGATTAAATTAGTCTGGAAATGAGGGGGTTTTGCTTCCTTCGCTTCTCCGGGCTCTCCGGAGGGTGTGGAGCCTCCAGAATCGCTGTGGTGATGGGTTCTGCCAGCCTGGCACGCAGGCCCCTCAGAGCAGGGTCCTGCCAGGGGTTATTCACAGCTTCCCAGGCCACAAATCCAGGCTGAAAAGTGGGATTGGAACTGCTTGGGATGGCTGCACCCTTCCCAGGTGTGCTGGGGAGCAGTGCAGGCTGCCAGGGGTGCGACCTCAGTGGAAGGGATCCCGTTCTGGCTGTGGATTCCCGGCAGGGGACAGGGGTGGCAGCTGGGGCAGAGCTGTGCCCTGCTGAGCCTGTCCTGGCAGGCCTGGCAGCTGCTCCTGGCGCCTTTTCCAGGCTCGAGGGAGGAGCGTGCCTGCCCAGCTCGGGGCTGGGGCGTGGAGCAGGCAGCCAGGGAAGGCAGGAAACCACACTCAGAGGGGTTCTGGGGCTCCTGGGGGTGATGGGGTGCCCTGGAGCTGCTGCTGAGGGCTGGGCAGAGAATGGGAGCAGGGAATGAGAGCAGGGAATGGGGATTCAGAGCAGGGAATGGGGAGCAGGGATTGAGAGAAGGGAATGGGGACCAGGGATTGGGGATTGAGAGCAGGGATTGAGAGAAGGGAATGGGGACCAGGGACTGGGGATTCAGAGCAGGGAATGGGGAGTGAGAGCAGGGAATGGGGAGCATGGAGCAGGGATTGAGAGCAGGGAATAAGAGCAGAGATTGCCCAGCCTGGTCCACTCTGGCTGTGTCCTCTGTCCCTTACCAGAGGGTTAAAGTAGAGAGTGAAATCCAGAGCTGGGTGAACAAAGAGAGCTTTCCTTTCTCTTTTTTCCCCTTCCCTTCCCTTCCCTTCCCTTCCCTTCCCTTCCCTTCCCTATGTCTCCAGGTGCTTCTGAACCTGGATAATTCCCTGAATTATCCCTCCCCCTCTTCCTCAGAAAACATCCAGCCCCATTTTGTATCCTCACGGGAGCAGGAGTGTTCCAGAGGAAGAAAGCCTCGATAAAAATCAAATATTTGATGTTGGAGTAAACAAACCCGATTGTTCCTTCAGATCTGGAGTTTTCAGCACACACAGGAGGAATCCTGGCAATGCCCCGGGGCAGGCCTGGAGCCCTGGCAGCCAGTGCCAGGTTTCCCAGAGCACTTTGGATGTCTGCATGGGGAATTTGCTGCTGTTTGGAGCAAAATAATCACGAATTGCTCCCCACAGCTCCCTGACAGGAGGGTGGAGCCAGGTGGGGTCGGGCTCTGCTCCCAGGGAGCAGCAGGACAAGAGGAAACGGCCTCACATTGCACCAGGGAGGGTTTAGGTTGGAAATCAGGGGAAATCTGTTCATGGAAAGGGTGGCCAGGCATTGGCACAGCTGCCCAGAGCAGTGCTGGAGTCCCCATCCCTGGAGGTGCCCAGAAATCACACAGATGTGGCTCTTGGGGACGTGGGTTACAGGTGAACGTGGTGAGGCTCAGTGATCAACCTCAGCCATTCCATGGCTCCAGTTTTGGCCAATTCCCGTGTCCTGCCTCCCCAGGCGGTGCAGGGGCTGGGAAGGGAACATTTTCCTGCCTGGGCTGCAGAGGATGGACAGAAGGACACTTTGGGGGGGTTACTGGGGTTACATTGGGCACTCCTGGGCAGGGAGTGCTGTGGGTCAGGGGCTGGGGCTGTTCTTGGGCTGAGGGATCCCCTCAGGAGGCTGCTGAGCCTTCCCATGACATGAGCCCTGACTTCCCAGCCTGTCAGACATCTCCTCTGACAATTCCAGCCCCTGTCCCAGATGCTGAGCTGCTCCAGCAGTCCCAGAGTGGTGGCTGTGCTCTCCCCCCAGGCTCTGCTGTGCTGCCTGCTGGGAGCTGAGTGTGTTCATTCCCTGTTTACTTGGATTTTGCTGTGTGTGAAACTGAGTTCCTTGGCTCCAAACGGAGCTGAGAGACGTTTGTGCTGCTTGTTTTTTCCAGCAGGCGTTGGAGTTGGAGCCGTGGGCTGGGATTTAGGGAGCTCTGGAGCTCCTGGTGGGTGAGGAACATCCTGGCTGAGCCAAGCTTTGGGTGCTCAGGGATGTTTGGGGGTTTGGTGGGGTCTTTTTGAGGGGCTTGGGGTGTTCCTGCTGCCTCCTTTCTCTTGCAGGTGCTGTGTGGACCCTCCCTGTTCCCATTCTGTCCCAGGGAATTCCTCTTTGAGGTGGGAAGGGTCCATCAGTGCCTGATCTCCTCCCTTTCCTTTCCCCACAGCTGGTCAGCGAGAAGGTCGGAGGGGCCGAAGGGACCAAGTTAGATGATGACTTCAAGGAGATGGAAAAGGTGAGTGGGGAAGCAGAGGAATCCCCAAAATCACCCCGTGGCTCCTGTGGGATTGGCTGAAACCCTGAGCTGACCCTCTCTGGGCTCCTGTCTCTCCTGCAGAAAGTGGACGTGACCAGCAAGGCTGTCACAGAAGTCCTGACCAGAACCATAGAGTACCTCCAGCCCAACCCAGGTGAGGGCCTGCACCTGCCCTGTCCCCTTCCCAGGGAAACAGGGAGATCCCTTTTGCTCCAGGTTTGGAGCAGGGGGAGATCTGGGTTACCCCTCTTGCCCTGAATCCAGGTGCAGCTTTTGCCTCAGACCCAGAGAGGCCCTAAGGGGACCCGTTTGTCTCAGAATGTCCAGGAAAAGTGGTGTTCCTGGGCTGGGAAGGGATTGCTGGCCCTGTCAGCCCTGCATCCTTCCAGCCAGCTGCTCCAGAGAGCACTCCAGGGACCTGGGAGGGCTGGGGAAACTCCTTTGGCTTTCCCTAAGCAAGCAGTGGGGAACTATTTTTGCTTTGTGTCTTTGGAAAAGAATGAGAGATATTCCTGGGGGATGGAGACAGTGAAGCCTCTTGGCTTTGGGTGTAGCAGAAACCTGCTGAGGGCTGCAGGGGATGCAGAGGGGGCAGAGGCTGAGGTGTTTGTGTGGCAGCTTCCAGAGCCAAGCTCACCATGCTCAACACCATGTCCAAGATCCGCGGGCAGGTGAAGAGCCCCGGCTACCCCCAGTCCGAGGGGCTGCTGGGGGAGTGCATGATCCGCTATGGGAAGGAGCTGGGAGAGGATTCCAACTTTGGTGAGTGCCCCCTGGGCCTGGGAGGGGAGTGGGGCAGGCTGCTGGTTCACTGCTGAGCTGGCACTCTGAATTCTGGAAGGGTTTGGGTGAACTTTGTGGCACTGAACTGTGCGTGGGGCTTAAAGGGGTTCAGAAACTTCCAGAGTGAGCAGATTGCAAGGGAAAGAGGGGAGGTTTAGATGGGATATTGGGATGAATTCCTGCCTGTGAGGAGGGTGAGGCCCTGGCACAAGGAACCCAGAGCAGCTGCGGCTGCCCCTGGATCCCTGGAGATCCCAAGGCCAGGCCAGGCTGGAGCAACCTTGTATAGTGAAAGTTGGGACTGTATGGACTTCAGGCTCCTTCCATTCCATCCCAAACCATTCTGTGATCCCAAGTATCCTGGATCTCAATCCACTTTCTTATTAAACACTGAGATAAATCTGCACACAAAATAAAAACTTCCCTCCGAACTGAGCAGCGAAGCAGGAACGGGACAGAGCAAGACTGGGAGTTTCACACAGCTCTGAAGGATCCCTTCCAACCCAAACCTTGCTGTGATTCCATAGGGAGGCTGAAGCCAAGAAATCTTCTGGCTGCTCCTCGGAGCCACGTGTGGCTGGCAGGGAGGAGGGGGTGAAGCCTTTTGGTGACATCAGTTTTAATGCCCTGGAACCTGGGCCAGGCACGTGATGGCCCCCTGGCAGCACAGGGAGGAGCTGCCTTGCCTCAGGAAAATTAAAAACCTCTGGCTGCTCTTGGAACTGACAGAGGATTTTGGAGATCCTCCCTGGCCAGCTCAGAGCTCTGCATCAGTCCTGGCTCGCAGGGACTGAGGAGAGCGAGGGAAGGAAGCTTTTAGGGGAGAGCACAGCAAACTCTATTTCCTTAATGGCCTCCTTAAAGCAGCACTGAGGACTCCATCCCTCCCTTCCAGGTTACTCAGAGTTATTACAATTGAAAGAACACTTCTGGTCTATTGATTTTTCCAGCTGGACAGTGGAGAGATGTTTTCCCTTGACCCTCTCTCTCACTCATGTATTTTCCTGTGTTCATGCTCTGCTGCAATTGTTGTTTTGCCAAAGCTGCACAGGAATCATTTCGTCTCCAAGTGTTTCCTCTGCACTAAAAAGCCAGCACTGATTATGCTTTGCTGCAAGCCTGCCTGGCTGAAGTGCCAGAGTGGCCAGAGCCTTAGGAAAGGATGGAACTGAACAGGTTTCAGTGAGTGACACTGAGCTCTGGGGCTGCCCCAGGCCAGCTTGGAGCAAACTGGGACAGCTGAAGGTGGCACTGGATGGGCTTTGGGGTCCTTCCAAGCCAAACCACGCCAGGATTGTGGGGCACACTAGAAGGAGGAAGGAAGGATGTGAGGCAGGTCCCTGGGCTCGGCTGTGCTTGATCCCCTGTCCCTGTCCCTGCAGGGGACGCGCTCCTGGACGCCGGCGAATCCATGAAGCGCCTGGCGGAAGTGAAGGACTCGCTGGACATCGAGGTCAAACAGAACTTCATTGATCCCCTGCAGAACCTGTGTGACAAGGACCTGAAGGAGATCCAGGTAACCCCCCCTGTGCTTTGCTCTGCTCTCATCTCCCTGCTCTCTCTTTGGCTGCTGGGGCACAGAGCTGCTGCTCTGCAGTGCTGGGAGCAGGGGCTGCCAGGAATTGCCTGCACTCTGTGTGTGTTTTGTCCCTCCAGACTCTCTGGTGTTTCCTCCCTGCTGCTCCTGAGCAGCCCAAAAGGCTGCATGCAGCTTGCAATGGTTCCCCATTAGCCGTGTTTGATGGTGCCATGGGAATGCATCCCAACACCCCCTCTGGGCTTGCTGAATTGGGCTCTTCGTGCTGGGAGCTTCCAGATGGGATCAATTTGGGCTCCAAGCTCTGAGCGAGCTCCTCTCAGGAATCCACTCAGCATCCCAAGGAGCCCTCTGGGGTCTCACTGGGAGAACAGGGAGCTCAGCAGCTCCCAGTGCTGCACACAGAATAGTGCAGGGCCTGTAACAGGATCCATCCCAACCTCCAATTCCTGAGGGAGTGTTCACTGTCACTGCTGTCGTGGGTGAAATAACCACCAAGTTACCTCAGTGCCTGTCTGTGCCCAGTTCCATGGGGCTGCTTTAAACATCCCTGCCCTAAGATCCAGGAGTGCAGTGCCCAGACCCCCCATTCCTGCTGTCCAGAGATCCCTGCAGCTCCTGGGGGGCTGAAAGGAGCAGCAGAGCTCTTCACCTTCCCAAAAAGCTTCTATGGGGAGCAGACCTGGAATGGAAAGGGTCTGGAATCGTTCCTCAATGGAAAGGATCTGGAATCATTCCCCCATCACACCCCAGGGCCTCTGTCCCACCTGGAGCAAAGGTGGGAGCCCCAGGAGATCAGGTTTCTGACACCAGTGAACTCAGCCTGTAACTGGAGCTGCCCTCCCAGGCCTCTGGCTTCTCCCTCTTCCCTGCTCTCTCCATCCTCCCCAGCACCACCTCAAGAAGCTGGAGGGGAGGCGCCTGGACTTCGACTACAAGAAGAAGCGGCAGGGCAAGATCCCCGACGAGGAGCTGCGCCAGGCCATGGAGAAGTTTGAGGAGTCCAAGGAAGTGGCAGAGACCAGCATGCACAACCTCCTGGAGACAGATGTGAGTGTGGGAGGGCACAGCTGGGCCCTTCTGTGTCCCTGGGGTGGCATCTCCTGAGGGAGGCACTGATTGCACACCGGTTTCCACTTCTCCCGAGTGTGGTTCTGCTCTGGGAAAGCCCAGAGCTGACAGCACAGAGCTTTGCTCAACCCCTGACCCAGCTCTGCCTGGCACCAAACAGGCTCCTCTCGGGGTGCTGGGGGATCATTTAGGGAGGTAACCCATCTGGGAAGGGTTTGGGAGGGATTTCCCAGCTGGCAAAGCCAGAGTGGCAGGAATGGGCTCTGTCCTGGCAATCCCAGAGCTCCTCCTGGGCTGCCCACGGCTGCCCCAGGGCAGTGCAGGGGTGTGCAGCTGTGGGCAGGTGCTGATGCCAGCCTGCTGTTGCCCAGATCGAGCAGGTGAGCCAGCTGTCAGCCCTGGTGGATGCCCAGCTGGATTACCACAGGCAGGCCGTGCAGATCCTGGACGAGCTGGCCGAGAAGCTCAAGCGCAGGTGAGTCCCTGTGGAATCCCCTGAGCCCCCCTGGAATCACAGAGACCACAAGGGTGGGGTGGGAAGGGACCTTGGGGCTCACAGAGCAGGGACACCTTCACTAGCCCTGGTGGCTCTGAGCCCTGTCCAAGCTGGCCTTGATAAAGCCAATTCCTTTGGGTTTTCCAGGTGGGATTTGGATTTAGTTGGGTGTTTGATCCAGCCCAAATCCTGGCTGAGGAAGGCTCAGTCCCACCTCTCCCTCCTCAGCCTCCCCACTCTGGGGAGGATCTGGCAGTGCTGCTCTTCCCTCCTGGGAGGAACTGCAGAGTGGATCCCGTGCCTGCCCTGAGCTGGGAGGAGCTGGGAGGACCCTGCCAAGTCTGAGCTTCCAAACTACAGCACGAGTGTCCTCTGCTGGCCTGAATTCCTGAGCATTCCCCAGCAAAACCCGGCATGTGTGGGCCCTGTGGAAGGGCAGATCCCAAACCCTGAGGAAATCCCACCTTGCAAAGGCCCCAGCACAGGGGCTTGTGCACATCCCAGTCTCCAAACCCTTTCCTGCCCAGTGCAGCCCCCAGGAGGATAAACACCGTGGTGTTCCCCTCCTCATTGCACTGAGCCTCGTTTCCTTTCCCTGTGCCAGGATGAGGGAGGCCTCCTCCCGTCCCAAGAGGGAATACAAACCCAAGCCCAGGGAGACCTACGACTTCAGGGAGCCTGACCAGTCCAACGGGGGCTTCTCCTGCAACCCCACCCCCAAAGCCTCAGGTAACCTTGTCCCAGGTGTTCCCTGGTGCCTCTGGAGCAGCCTCCCAGGGGAGGAGGGCAGCTGCTCTGCCTGCACAGGATGTTCCTGCTGTGCTGGAGGCTCCTGCACGAGCCTGTGGCTCTGGAAAACGTCAGCAGTGCCTCCAGATCGGGCTCTTTTCTCCTGGGACCCAGGAGCCTTTGCTGTGTTGGCTTTGGGGAGGTGCCAGAGGGGTCTCCAGCCTGGGCCTCTCGCTGTCAGTGCCAGACAGGAAAACGAAGCCTCCGTTCCTCCCTCCCTCCTTGTCTTCCCTCCCGCTGCATCCCTGCCTCCCTCCCTGATCCTGGCGGGTTCCTAACAGCATGGGGGCCCTGCTGTTGCTGCTGACAGACCCCTGTGGGCCCTGCCTGTCCCTGTCTCCCGTGGTTTAAGCATGTCTCTCTTTTGTTTGGAAGCAGCTTCCACCTCTTTCCGGTCGGACAAGCCGTCCCGGGCCTCCGTCAGGAGTATCCGTGAGTTTCCTCCCTCTGCACTGCTCCCTGTGTGTCCCCCCTGGCTGCTCCTCCCTGCTGCTGCTGCTCCTTGGAGCTGCTCATCCCTCTGTGCTGAGCCTGAGCCGAGCCCTGAATTAACCCAGCCATGCTCCAGTGGGATTGTTTGGGGGTTTTGCACTCCCAAAAATGGGACCTGGCTCACCCGGAGGAGCTGCAGCAGCTCCCAGCACCCAGACATGTCCTGGTCCCCAGGGATCAACACCAGACATGTCCTGGTCCCCAGGGATCAACACCCAGACATGTCCTGGTCCCCAGGGATCAACACCAGACATGTCCTGATCCCCAGGGATCAACACCAGGCATGTCCTGGTCCCCAGGGATGAACACCCAGACATGTCCTGGTCCCCAGGGATCAGCTCCCAGACATGTCCTGCTCCCCAGGGATCAACACCCAGACATGTCCTGGTCCCCAGGGATCAGCTCCCAGACATGTCCTGCTCCCCAGGGGTGAACACCAGGCATGTCCTGGTCCCCAGGGATCAGCTCCCAGACATGTCCTGATCCCCAGGGATCAACACCAGGCATGTCCTGGTCCCCAGGGATCAACACCAGGCATGTCCTGATCCCCAGGGATGAACACCAGGCATGTCCTGGTCCCCAGGGATCAACACCAGACATGTCCTGGTCCCCAGGGATCAACACCAGACATGTCCTGATCCCCAGGGATCAACACCAGGCATGTCCTGATCCCCAGGGATCAACACCAGGCATGTCCTGATCCCCAGGGATGAACACCAGGCATGTCCTGATCCCCAGGGATCAACACCAGGCATGTCCTGATCCCCAGGGATGAACACCAGGCATGTCCTGGTCCCCAGGGATCAACACCAGGCATGTCCTGGTCCCCAGGGATCAGCTCCCAGGCATGTCCTGATCCCCAGGGATGAACACCAGGCATGTCCTGATCCCCAGGGATCAACACCAGGCATGTCCTGATCCCCAGGGATCAACACCAGGCATGTCCTGCTCCTCTGGGATCAACACCAGGCATGTCCTGCTCCTCTGGATTCAACACCAGGCATGTCCTGGTCCCCAGGGATCAACACCAGGCATGTCCTGGTCCCCAGGGATCAACACCAGGCATGTCCTGGTCCCCAGGGATCAACACCAGGCATGTCCTGGTCCCCTGGGATCAACACCAGACATGTCCTGGTCCCCAGGGATCAACACCAGGCATGTCCTGCTCCTCTGGGATCAACACCAGGCATGTCCTGCTCCTCTGGGATCAACACCAGACATGTCCTGGTCCCCAGGGATCAACACCAGGCATGTCCTGCTCCTCTGGGATCAACACCAGGCATGTCCTGGTCCCCAGGGATCAGGTGCTTTCCCAGAGACATCAGACACCTCGAGGATTCCCTGTTCTCACAAGCACATCCACTCCTGCTCCCCATGTCCCTGTGGAAGGCTGGAGGGAGGAGGCAGAGCCTCAGCTCACGGAGTCTGTGGGGTGATGTGGGGTCTGTGGTTCCTCCTGCAGCACCTTGGGATGCTGGGGCTTGGAGCTGCTGTGCTGGGAAGGAGCCTGGAGCAGGGCCGTGGTGGTGGGGCCAGCCTGGTGGTTTGGGGAGTCCTCTCAAGCCCATCAATGTCTGGCTGCTGCTTGTGGTGATTTCTGAGTGCTCTTCCCATGCTGGGCCCTCCCTGCTGGGTCCTGGAGTCATGGAATGGTTTGGGGTGGGAGGGACCTTCAAGATTCCATTTCATTCCATGGGCAGGGGCACCTTGCACTGCCCCAGGGTGCCCCAAGCCCTGTCCAGCCTGGCCTGGGACACTGCCAGGGATGTGCCCTTGCTGCCATTCCCTTGCCCTGGCTGGGACAGCCCCAGCACGGTGGGGAGGGCTGGGGGGTCCTGCAGGTCTCTCTTAGCTCTGTCCCTTCCCACTGGGATTCTCCCAGCCCCAAAATGTCAGCGCACAGAGTGAGCAGCAGGAAATCCCACAGAAAATCCCTTTGCAGCCTAAAGGTGATGCGTAACTCCTGGAGCTGAGCTGGGGGATGAGATTTTGGGCTTCTCCTGAGTTTTGAGGGGCTGCTCATGGATTTGGAGCCCTGTGACCAGGGAGGCAGCTGCTGTGCTGTCCCCCTCAGGTGTGGGGTGACCCCATCAGAGTCCCCCTGCATGTCCAACCCCACCACCGAGCTCCAGGGCAGGTTCTCAGCTCTCAGGGCTTGTCTGCGATCCCTCTGAGGTGGGGATGCAGGAGCAGCTCTCGGCTCTGGAGGCAGTGTGGGACCTGCAGGAGCAGTGAGGGGCGCTGGAGCCATCCCTGCCGCTCCTGGCAGGGTGCAGAGCCCGCGGCAGCGGTGCCCGGTGTGCCAGGGCACCGTGGGGTCCCGCTGACGTGTCCCCACTGTCCCCACAGCCCCCCTGGACCAGCCCTGCTGCAAAGCCCTCTACGACTTCGAGCCCGAGAACGACGGCGAGCTGGGCTTCAAGGAGGGCGACATCATCACCCTGACGAACCAGATCGACGAGAACTGGTACGAGGGGATGATCCACGGCCAGTCCGGCTTCTTCCCGCTCAACTACGTGGAAGTGCTGGTCCCGCTACCTCAGTGAGACGGCGCCGCTCCGCCCCGAGTGTCCCGAGCTCCATTCCAGCCCCAGCCCCGCCCTCGCCGCCTCCCCTCGGGGCCAGGCGCTACCAGGGAACAAACCAGAAGGGTCCCACGGCCCCTTCCCCCCGTGAATTTGGTTATTTTCTTTTTTTTTGTCCTTTTTTTTTAATTTTTTTTTGTCCTTCTGGTGCTTGAACTTCGGTACTTTGTGCGCCCCCAGCCCCTGGCCGTGCTGCTGGCACCGCCCTGTCCCTGTCCCTGTCCACTTCCCGTCTTTCCTGTGGGTCCAGCGCGTGGGTGAGGCAGGTGGGAGAGCCAGGATGTGTCCTGGGCACAGGGGGCACAGCCAGGATGTGTCCTGGGCACAGGGGGCACAGCCAGGATGTGTCCTGGGCACAGGGGGCACAGCCAGGATGTGTCCTGGCACAGGGATGGCCCCAGGGCAGGGCAGCCCCATTCCCACCCTCCTGCCCCAGCCAACACCACCCCTGTCCCCACAAATCCCAGAGGGATCCCAGAGGGATCAGGGGAGGGGAGCTGGGGCACAGCAACACTAAAACAGCCAGAGAACACTAACACAGCCCTGCAGGGCAGGAGCTGAGCCCTGCCTGGGGCTTGGAGCCATCCCTGGGGCTCAGAGCCATCCCTGGGGCTCAGAGCCATCCCTGCCCACCCTGCAGGGACAGCAGGGATGTCCCCTGCCCCCCTGGCCCTCTCCCCACTGAGCTCAACCCCGTGATGGATGGCTGCTCCTTCTGCCCATGGTTTTTTCATGGACCTCAGGCTTTTCCTGCTCCAAACTCTCCCAAGCCAGTCCCACCTGGAGGATCCCCTGGAAGGAGAGGAGCTGGGCCACAGCCCAGGGTGTCTGTGTGATGGGACAGAGGTCGTGGCTCCTCTGCCCTTCCTGGGGATCCCTCCTGTGGCTGGAGCTCACCTGGCCCTCAGGTGCCTTCCCTGTACCCCCCACCACCCTCCCTGAGGGGCCAGGCCCCCTGTGCCCCTGCACTGCTGGGAGAAGGGATGGTTCATCTCAGTGGCACCTCTGCCAGCCCTTCTCCGTCTGCTGTGCTTTCCCTGGGCATGGGGTGGGCATGGTGTGGGCATGGGGTTGGCACGGGGCCGCAGGGCAGCGTCTGCTGGGCTCTGTGCTTTCCCTTGCTGCAAAAGTGGGTTCTGCTACTCATGGGGCTGGGGTGGGCCCTGCTGTGAGCCCCAGCTGTGCAGGGCTGTGCTGCAGCACCCCTGTCCTTGCTGCACCTCTGTCCTGCAGCTCTGTGAGCCCCAGCTGTGCCCCAGCTGTGCAGGGCTGTGCTGCAGCACCCCTGTCCTTGCTGCACCCCTTTCCTGCAGCTCTGTGAGCCCCAGCTGTGCAGGGCTGTGCTGCAGCTCTGTGTCCCTGCAGCACCCCTGTCCCTGTCCCTGTCCCTGTCCCTGCAGCCCCTGCCCCGTTCTCTGTAAGGATTTGGTCCGTGCATGTCCACGTGTGTCTGACCCCCGCCCCAGCAGTGACCCCGGCCCCGGGGGGGGCACAGGGCAGCCCCCCCTGCTCCCAGCAGGGCAGGGAGCCCATGGGACCGGAGTCCTGGGGGCCCTTCCTGCTGTCCCCTCCCCGCTGGGGGACACTGGCTCCCGCTCAGGTGGATTGAGATGCGTTCTGTCAGCTGGGACACCTCGCTAGGTCTATTTTTGGGTTTTGTTTTTGGTTTTTTTTGTTTTGTTGTTTTTTTTTTTTTAATGGTTTCTCCTGGTTTTTAGGGGGAAAAAATGATGACCCACAATTCTTGACTTGTATCTCTGAATGAAAGTATTAAATGTTTTCTTCTTTCTAAGGGCTGCCTTGTGGAGTCAGGGAATGGCTCAGATTGGATGGGACCTGGAAGGTCGTGGGCAGGGACACCTCCCACTGTCCCAGGCTGCTCCAGTGCCCATCCAGCCTGGCCTTGGGCACTGCCAGGGCTCCAGGGGCTGTGCCAGGGCTGCCCACACCCTCCCAGGGAGGAATTCCCTCGCACATCATCCCCTATTCCAGGCCATGGCAGAGCCACCTGTCAGGAACTGCTCTTTAATCGAACTACCACTTCCACAAACCGCCGTGCCCCAGGGCTCGGCACGGCCGCCCCCGGGGCGGGGCAGGGCGGCTCCGGGGCGCTCCGGGAGCTGCCCCGGCCGGGCCCGGAGAGCCCCGGGGCTGCGAGCCCCGCCCGGGCTGCGGGAGGCGCCTGGTCCCACCGAGGGGCCCCGCGCCCTCACCCGCTGAGCTTCAGCAGGCTGAAGATCTGCTCCAGGACGTGGCTGAAGCTCTGGTCTTTGGGGGTGCGGGAGGCCAGGGAGCCCTGAGAGGGGGGAGCCCCGCTTGAGTCCAGCACAGGGAGTGGGTGTCCCAGCAAAGCCCCCTGCCCCGCCAGCCCTTCCCACCTTCAGCTTGTCCAGGTAGGTCTGATCCTGACTCCACAGCTCCTGGAACTTCACCAGGTCGGGGGCTCCCTTGTAGAACTCCACCAGCAGCGTCTGGGGGGGGGACAGAGGGGCTGCAGGCCTGGGGGTGCCCCAAAGCCAGGCAGGGGCACCCCAAACCTGCAGCACCACGGCCCTGGGGTCTGGAGATGGGACTGCCACCATCACCGGGGCTAAGGGCTGGATGGGGACAAGTGGTGGGGCCCCAGCCTGCACCCAGTGGGCTCGGGGGGTTTGGGGGGCCCTCACCCCTCTCTCACCATCTCCTGCACGACGTCGTTGGTGAGGAATCCGTCCTGGATGTAGGTGACCTCCACATCCATGGGGATCCCGTAGTCGTTGGGCCGCTGCTGTGGGATGGGGGAGCCGGGCAGGGGTCATCCCACAGCTCTGGCACCTGACACCACCCTGGGGGCACCCCCACCCCAAATTCTCCCCCACTTTACCTCTGGCGGCGGCATCACCCAGAAGGGCGCGATTTTGGACTCCACGCCGGGGTTGCCGTGGTAGAAGGGCCCTGTGGGCACAGAGGGGGCTGGCACAGGGGGGTGGCAGCAGCCGCAGGCCCGGGCAGCCCCGGGGGGCTCACGTACCGCAGATGAGCCCCAGGCAGGGCTGGAAGCCGTTGCCGCTGCCCTGCAGCTTGAGCTGGTAATCCATCTGCGCATCGATGTCGTGCAGGGACGGCAGCGCCGGCCCGAAGGGGTGGCTGTGGTACCACCCCACCAGCGACAGCCCCCGCAGGAACAGGCTCTGGCAGATCTGGGGGGGCACAAACCGTGGGTGCGGAGCCTCCAGAGCCCCCAGAGCCCCCCGGGCTGGATCTGCCCCTCACCTCCTCCTCCACAGCGCCCGCGGCTTCGGCGTCACCCAGGCGGGTCCGGCAGGGGAAGGCTCGGAGCACGGTCAGCACTGCGGGGACACGGGGCTGGGTGACACCCCCGGGCCACGGCAGGGCCGCCCCCACCCCCCGGACCCCACCTACGCTGGGTGTTGGTGTCCCAGCGCCCCCCCAGGTACCCCACCACTTCGCTCCGCGTCAGGTGGCTGTGGAAATCCTAAAGGAAAAGGTCAAAATCAGCGGTTTAGCACGAAAATAATGGCACGAGGGACACCCCGCTGGCTGCAGGTGTCCCCAGCGCCATCAGCGATGTCCCGGCCTGGGGAGGGGACGCACCAGGAGCAGGAGGACGTTGCTGGAGATGGCCACGTTGAAGGGCTGGAATTTGTTGATGGCGGCGAAGGAGGTCACCTCCACCAGGGTCTGGGGGTTCCTGGAAGAGCCACGGCCGCGCTGTCCCCGCTGTCCCCGCTGTCCCCGCTGTCCCCGGCCCTGCCCCGCGGTCCCCTCGGTGTCCCTACCTGGCCGAGTCGCGGGTGCCCAGGGTGCAGTAGCGGACGGGCACCCGGGGCTTCACCTCCAGCCTTTTCCCGGCGCTGCCTCCGTCTGCCAAGGACACGGTCCGGTCACCGCGGCCGGGCCGCCCGGGCCCCCCGGCACCCCCTCGGCAGCTCACCCGTCCCCGCCGGCTCCGCCAGGCCCTTGCCCTGCTGCTTCTTGCTCCTCTCCTCCGGCTTTTTGGGAGCCGCCGGCTCCGGCACCGCCAGCCGACCCTCCCTGGCCGCCTCCTCCTCCTCATCCTCGGGCAGCTCCTCCTCCTCGCCCTCGCTGGCCAAGCTCTGCGGGCACACGGGGCTGGCACCCAGCTCGCCCCGCACGCCGGGGGTGCCGGGGGGAGGCGAGCCCGGTCCCACCTCGTCGGGGGGCGGCACGTTGGGCTGGTGCTTGCGCAGCCAGGCCGCCTTGTACTGGTCCAGCTTCTGGCCCTTGTAGCGCACCGAGGCCCAGCCGCAGCCCGACTTCTTGGCGGGGTTCACCAGGCGCTTGCAGTGCGTGGCCCAGGCGCTGGGCGAGTTGAACACCTGCCCCGTCTCCTGCCAGGTGATCGTCCCGTCCGAGCCCAGGTCCCCCACGAACTTCTTGCCCTGGGGACGATGGCGGGAGTCACATCCCCTCGTCCCCATTACTTGTGCCTCAGCTTCATCACTGTCCCTTGTCCTCATCCCACATCCCCTGTGCTCATCCTGTGTCCTGTTTGCCGTCCTTTTCCCTGTCCCATGTCTCCTGTCCCATCTCTGTCTCCTGTCCCATCTCTGTTTCTTGTCCCATCTGTTTCTTGTCCCTCTCCTGATTCCCAATCCCCATTTCTCTCCCCTGTCCCCATCCCTGTCCCCTGTCCCCGTCCCATCCTTCTCCCAGTCCCGATCCTCTCTCCCTGTCTCCATCCCTATTCCTCGTCCCCATTCCCCTCCCTGTCCCCATCCCCTCTCCCTGTCCCCAACCCCTCTCCCAGTCCCCATCCCTCTCCCTGTCCCCATCCCTGTCCCCTGTCCCCCGTCCCCAGGCTCACCAGGTAGTAGATGGACAGGACGCCCCTGCCCGGCTCCAGGAGCCCGTCTCGGAGCAGGACCCTCAGGGTGATGCCCCTGCGGGTCAGCACCGCCCCCCGGGCCGCCCCCGCCGCCTTGGCCACCTCCGGCTCGGCCTCGGCCTCGTCCAGCCCCGGCTCCAGCTCATCCTCATCCTCCTCCAGACACTCGTCCCCGCCGGGGGAGGCGGCCGCGAGCGCTGCGGGGGGGGACACGGTGTGACAGCGCCCCGGGTGTCCCCCCAGAGCTCCCTTGGGTCCCCCCTTGGTTTGTGCCTGCGGATGGGGAGACGGGGACAGGGACGGACAGGGACACAAGCACGGAGGGGACACACGGACATGGAGGGGCAGGACACGGGGACCGGAGGACTCGGGGGTGGGAGGGGGGACACTGACATGGGGACAGGGGGGTGAGGACACAGGAGGGTGGCAGTGAAGGACTGCGGGCACGGGGACACGGCTGGCGGGGACAGGGACGGGTTGAGGGACGCGGGGCCGGGATGTCCCCGCCGAGGTCCCGCGGGAGCGCGCTCGGGCAGGTGCACGCGCGTGCCCCGGGTGTACGGGGGTGGGGGGGGAGTGACCGGTGCGCGTCCCCGGCCGGGGCGCGTGTCCGTGGGCGCGTGTCCGCTTCCCGGTGCGTGCCCGGTACCGGCTGCCCGCTGCGCGCCCGTTGTGCGCGTGCTCGGTACGTGTCCGGTGCCCGGTGCGTGCCCGGTGCGTGTGCGATTCCCCGTTCCCGGTTCCCGGAGCCGGTGCCCGGTGCGCCCCCGCCCCCCGGTACCTGCCATGCTCCGCTCCCGCCGCTCCCGCCGCTCCCGCCTCCCCCCGGTGCGCGCGGCGGCGGCGGCGGCGACACGTGATGGGGCGGCCCCGGGCGCCCCGCCCCGCCCGGGGGGGCGAGGGGACACCGGCACCGGGGGGGGGGAACGGGGGGGACGGGACAGCCCCGCACCTGCAGCACCGGCGGGGGGGACGGGGGCTCAGCCCCGCACTGACACACGGACCCCCCCACCCCTCCCGGCGGGACCCCCGCCCGCCGCCCCGGCCCCGGGAACGGGGGGACACCGGCACCGGAACCGGGCGGGGGGACGGGCAGGAACCGGCCGGGCTCGGTCCCGCACCTGCCGCACCGGGCGCGGGACGGGGGGGCTCAGCCCCGCGCCGGTCACGGACCCCCAGCCCGGCCGGGACCCCCGGGAGGGGCACGGGGACACCGGCACCGGGAGCGGGAACGGGAGCCTGTCGGGGCGCACCTGCTGCGTGCGAGGGGAGGGACTCGGGGGCTCAGCCCCGCACCGGGGATGCCCCGGCCCCGCCGGGACTCCCGCCCGCCGCCCTTCGCCCCGCGCCGGGCGGGGCCGGTACCGGGAACTGCGGCGGCTCCTGCGCGGCGGCGGGGATGGAGCGGCCGGTGTCGCTGCCCCGGGGGACCCGGCCCCGCGCCCGGCACTACTACGAGGGATTCGTGGAGAAGCGGGGGCCAGGTGATCAGGTGGGCGACACCGCCGGGACCGACCCCGGCACCCCGGGACCGATCCCGGTACCCCCGGGACAGACCCCGGTACCCCCGGGACCGACCCCGGTACCCCCGGGACCGAGCGCCAAGAGCGACCCTCGGGGGTACCCGGGGACCCCGGGACTGCTCCCGGCACTCCTGGGCACTGTCCCCCCCTGGGACCACCGGCTGTGCTCCCTGCCGAGCCCGGTGCCGATGCCAGTGCCGGCTCCCCGTGCCGTTTCTCCGTTCCCGGTGCCTTTTCCCTGATCCCGGTGCCATTTCTCTGTTCGCGGTGCCTTTTCTCTGATCCCGGTACAATTTCTTTGTTCCTGGTTCCATTTCCCTGTTCCCGGTGCCGTTCCTCTGTTCCCGGTACAATTTCCCTGTTCCCGGTGTGGAGCTGAGCTCGTCTCTCCCCGCAGGGCTACCGGAGGGTCTGGGCCGGGCTGCGGGGGCTCCAACTCGCCTTCTACAGCGGGCCCCAGGACCAGGAGGTACCGGGGCTGCTCCGGGCGGGACCCCCGGGCCGGGACCCCCGCGGGACCCCCGAGGCCGGGGACACCCCCGGGCTGGGACCCCTCAGGGTGGGACCCCTGTGCCCCCTCCCCAAGCTGGGACTGGTGAAACCGCCCAGGATTGGGGACCCGTCCCCATAAACCCCCCTGGGCAGGGACCCCGGAGGATGGGACCTTCAGGGGACACTGGGGGGACCCTGCTGAGGGTGAGGGCACCCCTGGGCCGGGGGTCCCACCCTTGGGTGCCCCCAGCCCCTGGAGCTGCTGGACCTGGGTGAGCTAGTGACCGTGCAGGCCAAGGACGGGCTGCTCATCCTCAGGCTGAGGGGACAAGAGGTGACAATGAAGGTGAGGGGCAGCCAGGGGGGCAATGGGGGTTTGGGGTACCTGGGGGCAATGGGGGTACCTGGAGGGGGGATCTGGGGGGACAGAGGGGACACGATTTCAGGATTGGGGGGATGAGGGGTCTGGGTTTTGGGACAGGGGCTGCAGGTGGGTAAGGGAAGGATTTAGGGACACAGGACAGGATTTCAGGACTGGGGAGACTGGAGAGCACATGGGGAAGGACTTGGGGGTACAAGGGATGGCGGGTTTTGGGATTTGGGGCCAGGTTTAGGGGGCTGTGGAGACCTGTGTGGGGCACAAGGGACAGGGGACAGGCCACCCTCACGTCCCTGCGTCCCCTGGCAGATGAAGAGCTGGGAGATGCAGGAGATGTGGCGGGGATTCATCCTGACCATGGCCAAGGTGGGTGCGGCGCTGCCCGGGGCTCCGGGGGGTGACAGGGACCCCTCAGTGCCACCAGCCCGTGTCCCCCCACAGATGAAGATGCCCCCGGACCTGGCGCTGCTGCCCGGACACATCTCCCAGCTGCTGGAGGCTCTGCGGGAGGAGCAGCAGCGCAGGGGCACCGCCGTGTGTCGGGCCACCCCTGTGTCACCGACCACCCCCGTGTCCCCGATCACCCCCGTGTCACTGACCACCACCGTGTCACCGACCACCTCCGTGTGTCCGGCCACCGCTGTGTCCCCGGTCACACCCGTGTCCCCGACCAGCCTCGTGTCCCCCAGCCCCTCTGAGCCGTGAGTCGGGGGCTTGGGGGGTCCCCATCCGCCCTGGGGACCAGCACGGCGCAGCTGGGGTGGCCCAGTGCGGCAGGGCAGGGCTGGGGGTGACAGCGGGAGGGTCCCCAATGCAGGGTATGGCTGTGGTGACACAGAGGGGGTCCCCAGGGTCCCCAGCTGTTTTTTCCAGGTGACTCGAGCCGAGGCTGAGCTGCTGCTGGAGCTGAGCGCGCCCGGGGGGAATCTCCTGCTGCGGCCCGGAGGACACGGCCAGGGCGTCTCGGTCACCACGCGGCAGGAGCTGAGCGGGTCCGTGCCGGGGACACCGGGGACACCGGGGAGGGGGTCCCCAAGGGGACGGGGGTGGCTCAGGGTGAGGGTCCCCATGGGTGCGGGGTCCCAGGGTGAGTGGTGTCCCCTTGGGGGGGTCCTGGTTGGGTGGGCGGCCCCAGGGGAGGGTCCCCGTTCGAGGGGTGTCCCGCGGGCTGTGAGTGCCCCACAAAGGGGGTGCCCAGCCCCTGAGCCCCCCGACCCGCAGGAGAGCGGTGCTGAAGCACTACAGGGTGAAGAGAGAGCCCCAGGGCTACCTCATCGACCTGGAGACCCCGGTGAGTGACACGGGACAGGGCGGGGCTGGCCCTGGGGACAGGGACCCCAACCCCGGGCACCCCCCTGAGCCCCCGGGGTGGGACCCTTGGGGTCACCCGAGGGACTGGCACCGTGTGGGCAGTGCCACCCCAGGGCTGGGCACCCCCAGGGTGGCACCAAGGGGCTGGGGTCCCCCGAGGGCTGTGGGTCAAGGAACTGGGACCCCCAAAAGAAGGGACAGCGAGCCCCTCAGGTTTGGGATCCCCGGGAACCGGGACCCCCAAAGAGCTGCAGCCAAGGGTGTGGGACCCCCACGCGGGGCCCGGGGCGGAGGGCAGGGCATGGGGGGCACAAGGGGGGTCCCCGAGCGAGCCCCGCGTGTCCCCAGCACCGCTGCTCGGCGCTGGCAGACGTGGTGCAGTTCTTCGTGCGGAGGAGCGAGGGCGGCCTGCGGCCCCTGGAGCCCGAGTACAGCTCCCAGCTGGGTGGGCACGGGCTGGGGGGCGCGGGGGGCTGGGGGGCACTGCTGGGGGGCCGGGGACACTATTGGGGTGTCGGGGGACGCTATTGGGGTGTCGGGGGACACTGCTGGGGTGCTGGGGGGCATTATTTGGTATCGAGGGACACTATTGAGGGTCGAGGGGCACTATTGGGTGTCGGGCAATGCTATTGGGGTGTCGGGGGACAGTATTGGGGTGTCAGGGACAATGCTGGGGTGTTGGGGACACTACTGGGTATTCGGGGACACTGCTGGGGTGTCAGGGGATGCTATTGTGGTGTTGAGGGACACTATTGGGGTGTCAGGGGGCACTGCTGGGGTATCAGGGAGACTGCTGGGGTGTCAAGGGACACTATTGGGGTGTCAGGGAATGCTATTGGGGGTCGGGGGGCACTATTGGGGTGTCAGGAGACGCTATTGGGGTGTCGGGAGCAGCCGTGGGAGGCTGGGGGTGTCTGGGGTTCTCGGGGCTCTGGAGAGTTGGGGGGCAGAGCTGCTGGGGTGTCTCAGCCTGGGGGGGCTCAGGGGGGTCTGGGGGTGTCGGGTGCAGACGGAGGGTCCGTGACCCCCCCCCTGCTCTGCCCCAGAGTTGGTGCCCATAGAGGGGGACCCTGCTCCGGCTGCAGCCGTGCCCAGGGCGGCCCCGAGGAGGGGCAGGAGCCTCCCCGGCCTGGGGCTGGTGCCCGAGCAGCAGCTCTACATGAACGACCCCGGTGAGGCCGCCCGGGACTGCGGGGAGGGGAGGGGGCACCCCCACACCGAGACCCCCCGACCCCGCTGTCACCCCCAACACAATGAGGGGACACGATGGGGGGCACGGGGGTGGCAGCATGGGGACACCGGGTCCTGTCACCGCCTCGGGGGGTAATGGGGAGGGATGGGGGGTGTTCCTGGGGGGTTCCTGGGGGGCAGGGGAGGGGGATTCTCTGCCAGGCGCTCACAGGCCCCCCTTCCATGGCACAGGCAGGACCCAGGAGCTGCTCAGGGAGCTGCACAGGAAGCTGCAGCAGCGCCGGGCTCCGTGATGGGGACACTCTGGGGACACCCCCTTGGTACCAGCAGGGGCAGTGGGACCCCCCTCACCCTCAGGGAACGCTGTCCCCAGTGTCCCCAGCGTGCCCAGTGTCCCCGGGCCTGCGGTGACACTGGTTTGGGAACCCCCCTCACGTTTGTAAATAAAGAACCCTGTGCCCACCCAGCCCCGTCCTGCTCCTGGCACCCTGGGGGTGTCCCAGGCACCCCAAATCCCCCCCGTGCCCCATCCACGGCCAGCTCACACCTACATCCCAATTTATTCTCCAGGCCAGAAGCAGCTCTCGGTGCTGGGGGGGCAGCGAGCCCCGTGACACGGGGGGCACGGAGTGGGGGGGCCGTGGGCAGCCCCGGGGCTGGCAGCGCCCGGCGGGCAGCGCTGGGGCTGGCAGGGCCCGCGGGCAGCGCCGGGGGTGGCAGGGGGGTACATTCAGTGCTGTGCCCGCTCAGGGCAGGCTGGAGCTGCTGGCGGTGCTGTTGCGCTTCTGCAGGCACCGCACGGCGCTGGGCACCTGCAGGCCTGAGGTCACCTGGAAGCTGCCACACCACACCTGGGGGCACGGCGCGGGCTCAGGGGGCTGCGGGCAGCGCTGGCAGC